CGAGCAGTACTAAAAGGAGAACAAAACACTCACCCTTCCCCACCTTGGATCATGGCTTTGACATTTCAGGGGTCCAGCCTTCATGAATGTTTGTAGAAATAGATAATAAACTTGGATAAATGTACCACCTTTAAGTGTACAATTCAGTGGCGTTTCGTAGATTCACAATATTGTGCAACCATCGCCACCATCTGTTTCTAAACTTTCTCATCATCCCAAACAGAAATGCTGTCCTCATGAAGCTATAGTTTACCTACTTTTAAATTTTTATTTACTTATTTATTGATTATGAGACTGAGTCTTTCTCTGTCTCCCAGGCTAGAGTACAATGGCGCAATCTCGGCTCACTGCTACTTCTGCCTCCCAGGTTCTAAGCAATTCTCCTGCCTCAGCCTCCAGAGTTGGGATTACAGGTGCATGCCACCACACCCAGCTAATTTTTGTATTTTTAGTAGAGATGGGGTTTCACTATGTTGGTCATGCTGGTCTTGAAATCCTGACCTCATCATGATCCACACACCTCAGCCTCCCAAAGTGCTGGGATTACAGGCATAAGCCACCATGCCTGGCCTAAATTTTTTATTTTTTAAGAGATGAGGTCCTGCTCTGTTACCCAGGCTGGAGTGCAGTGGCATGATTATAGCTCACTGCAGCCTCAGTCTCCTGGGCTCAAGTGATCTCTCCTGCCTCGGCCTCCCAAGTAGATGGGACTACAGGTGCACACAATTGCATGTGGCTAATTTTTATCTTTTTTATAGAGACAGGGTGTCACTATGTTCCCAGGCTGGTCTCAAACTCCTGGGTTCCAGAGATCCTCCCACCTCAGCCTCCTGAAGTACTGGGATTAAGGGCATGAGCCACTGTGCCTGGCCCTCATGCAATTTATTGAATACTATACTAACAGTGAAAAACAGAAAGATTGTATCAGTACTGGAAGCACAGTTTTTGTGAATGTGATCGTTTCTGTGCCATTGTAAAGTCAAAAAATTGTGTGACCATCTGCACTTGCAACTACTGGTAGGCTTAGACACTTGGATTTTAGATCCAGAAACATCCAAACACTTCCTGCTGGGTGGGAGAAGGCTGTAGGGGTCAGAGCTCTTAGCTGCTAGCAAGAGAAGCCCACTCAGGCTGAGTTTAAAAACTGAGGCCAGGCACTGTGGCTTATGCCTGTAATCCCAGCACTTTGGGAGGTCGAGGTGGGTGGATCACCTGAGGTCAGGAGTTTGAGACCAGCCTGACCAACATGATGAAATCCTATCTTACTAAAAATACAAAAATTAGCTGGGCATGGTAGCATGTATCTGTAGTCCCAGCTACTTGGGAGGCTGAGGCAGGAAAATTGCTCGAACATGGGAGGCAGAGGTTGCAATGAGCCGAGATCATGCCATTGCATTCCAGCCTGGGTGACAGAGCAAAACTCCATCTCGAGAAAAAAAACAAAAGAAAGAAAAGAAAATGAATTTATGGGCAACTGAGAAGGATCAAGGAGACACAGAGACTAAAGATGACAGGCAGCCAGCTGGACAGCCACAGCCTCATCAAGCCCAAACATGCAGAGGCTGGCCTAGGGGGGGTGACACAGAAATGGTTGGGCATGGTGGCTCATGTCTGTAATTCCAGCATTTTAGGAGGCCTAGGTGAGCGGATCACTTGAGACCAGGAGTTCAAGACCAGCCTGACCAATATGGTGAAACCCCGTCTCCACTAAAAATACAAAATTAGCCAGGCATGGTTGCAGGTGCCTGTAACTCCAGCTACTTGGGAGGCTGAGGCAGGAGAACTGCTTGAGCCTGGGAGGTCGAGGTTGCAGTGAGCTGAGATCATACCATTGGACTACAGTCTGATCAACAGAGTGACTCTGTCTCAAAAAAAAAAAAAAAAAAAAAAATTTCTATGCAGAATTGTGAGTGAGTGTCTCTCATTTTGGGGGCAATGTCAGGGGATTTCCATAATCTGAGAGTGGGCACCGAGCATGTGGCCAAGAATCCTGGACAGCAGCAACATCCAGGTGTACTTAGCAGAGGAATAAGGGATGTGCCTGGCTGGGGTATCAACAAAGCCGTCAATTCCAGCTGGCTGTTAATGTTGATGCTATACATCCTGTATATGAATTCTCCCATCAGAAACTCTAACTAGTTAGAAAGGCAAAGAAGAAAGAAAATCATGCTCCCGTTCCCCAAAGGAAAGGGCAAGGAGGCGGGAAGGTGGAAGGGAACTTCCTGGTGCTGCGGCCTGAATCTCCACTTGTGCTGCTGTTTTCCCCACTAGACTGTACTTCCAAAAGGGGCTGAAGATGGGCACAATACCAGCCCCTCCCTTCTCTCCAGAAGTATTCTGCAACCCTGACATTCACAGTAATTGCTTCTTTCTGCTCCTCTCTTTTTTTTTTTGAGGGAGGTTCTTGCTCAGTCACCCAGGCTGGAGTGCAGTGGTGTGATCATGGCTCACTGCAGGCTTGAACTCTTGGTCTCAAGTGATCGTCTCCCCTCAGCCTCCTGAGTACCTGGGACTATAGTCATGCACCACCATTCCCGGCTAATTAAAAAAAACTTTTTTTTTTTCCGGTAGAGACAGGGTCTTACTATGTTGCCAGGCTGGTCCCCAACTCCTGGGCACAAGCAATCCTCCCTTCTCAGCCTTTCAAAGTGTTTGGTGTTACAGGTGTGAGCCACCACACCTGGCCTCTTTCTGTTTCTTTAGAGTAGAGCCGCCCTAATATGCATCTCTAGCCCATAACTGTTCCCCAGCATTGTTATGTCTTTTAAGTCTCTTTCAATCTCCAAGTGTTGGCTGGGTGAGTGCTCACACCTGTAATCCTGATGTGATAGGATCATTTAAGTTCAGAGGTTTGAGACCAGCCTGGACAACACAGGGAGACTCCTGTCTCTACAAAACCTAATTTTCTTTTTTTTAAACTCCACCCAGGCTGCAGTGCAGTGGTGTGATCTCAGCTCACTGCAACCTTCGCCTCCTGGGTTCAAGCCATTCTTCTGTCTCATCCTCCCAAGTAGCTGAGATTACAGGCACATGGGACCATGCCCAGCTAATTTTTGTATTTTTAATAGAGCCAGGGTTTCACCATGTTGGCCTGGCTGTCCTCAAACTCCTGACCTCAGGTGATCTGCCCACCTCAGTCTCTCAATGTGCAAAGATTGGGATCACAGGTATGAACAACTGTGCCCAGCCAAAAACTAAAATTTAAAAAAAGACACAATTTACAAGTTTCTCCTCTATCCTTTTTCCTTCTTTTTTTGGAGACAGAGTCTTGCTCTGTCACCCAGGCCAGAATGCAATGGCACAATCTCAGTCCACTGCAACCTCCGACTCCCAGGTTCAAGTGATTCTCTTGCTTCAGCTTCCTGAATAGCTGGAATTACAGGCATGTGCTACCACACCTGGCTAATTTTTGTATTTTTGGTAGAGATGGGGTTTCTCCATGTTGGTCAGGCTGGTCTCAAACTCCTGACCTTGTAATCTGCCCACCTTGGCCTCCCAATGTGCTAAGATTACAGGCCTGAGCCATTCTTTTCCTTTCTATGGATTTTGGAAGACTCCACACTGTTGGGCCTGTAGCATTTCTCAAAGTCTGAATTTCCCTGGTGCAGGTGAACCCATTCTCTGTCTTTTGTATTTGTGGCATATTTGCAGCTGGATTTATGCTCACCCCATTAGATTAGAGTTTGATCATGTTGGCAAGATTCAGTGGGTGATGTGATTGATGTCTTGTTGGTAATGAGTACTATCCTATTGTCTCTCTTATTTTGTTAATTTTTTAAATTAGTTTTTTAGAAATATGGGGTCTCATTTTGTCACCCAGGCTGGAGTGCAGTGACTCCACCATGGCTCCCTGAAGCCTCAAATTCCTGGGCTCAAGTGATCCTCACACCTCAGCCTCCTGAGTAGCTGAGACCACACACCACCACACCCAACTTTTTTTCTTTTTTGAGATGAAGTCTCGCTCTGTTCCCCAGGCTGGAGTACAGTGGCATGATCTCAGCTCATTGCAGACTCTGCCTCCCAGGTTAATGCAATTCTCCTGCCTCAGCACTCTGAGTAGGTGGAATTATAGGCACCTGCCACCACACCCAGCTAATTTTCATATTTTTAGTAGAGATGGGCTTTCACCTTGTCCATCAGGCTGGTCTGGAACTCCTGACCTCAAGTGATACGCCTGCCACAGCCTCCCCGAGTACCGGGATTACAGATGTGTGCCATCGCACCGCATCTGGCCGCTGCCCAGCATTTTCTTTTTTTAGACTGAGTGTTGTTTTGTCACCCAGGCTGGAGTGCAGTGGCACAATCTCAGCTCGCTGCAATCTCTGCCTCCTGGGTTCAAGTGATTCTGCTGCCTCAGCCTCCTGAGTAGCTGGAATTACAGGCACCTGCCACCATGCCCAGCTAATTTTTGTATTTTTAGTAGAGATGGGGTTTTGCCATATTGGCTAGGCTGGTCTTGAACTGACCTAGTGATCCACCCACCTCAGCCTCCCAAAGTGCTGGGATTCCAGGTGTGAGCCACCATGCCTGGTACCTAATTCCTATTCACTGGTCATGGATGGGAGCTATGGAACCTTTCCCCAGAATACATGCTGGCCCCATCAGAACATCAAGGTTCAGTCTCCTGAGATGTTCCTCTGTGGCTGAAGGGACAATGGTTGTGTCCCGCGCCCCCGCAGTTCTGTCACCGCGGGGGGCGGGGGTGCGCTCCTCTCCAGGGCATTTCCTGGTTCTCTGGCCAAGCCCTCTGACCTCTGTAGGCCCTCGTTGGGGGGGGCCAGGGGACAGCACGAGGTCCCCGTGGGGTGTCTGCCAGCCCTGGGTGCCATGTCCTGAGCAGCTGTGCTGTCAGTTACTTAAACATGTATGTGGCACTTTCTGGCTGACAGGCGCTCAGCAGCATGCAGATAACCGAACTGGTTCCCTTAAGCGGCCTGTGAGGAAGGGGCAGCCTGGAGGAGCCGCCTGCTGGAGGGAGGTGCTGCCGGGGTGGGGTTGGGTGTGGCTGCTGCGTGCCAGGGGTGGCGGCCAGGTGAGGGCACCTCCATTCTGGAAGCTCCGGCCCATCACAGTGTAGTCCATAGGTTCCAGACGGGGCTGTGGGGGCAACGTGAGGGCGGGAAGGATCCCGGGGGTCAAATGAAGAGAAGGTGCCTGTTCCCGGGACCCCAGAGTGAGCTTTCCAGGCACAGGGAAGCCCGGGGCCGGTTGTCATGGGGGTGTCTGAGTCTCTAGCTGGAGTTACTGGGGCAGGGAGGTCAGAAACGGAGGCCAACCGGTGTGAGTTGGCCTGCTGAGAGCCTCGGGGGAGGGGCTGGTGTCTGCTGTCAGCGGCCTGCGACACCGACCTTCCACCGCCGGCAATTGCAGAAGCCTCCTCCTGGTCTCTGCCCTCACAGCGGCGCCAGCCGCCCCTGCGCTCTTAGAGCACAGCCATCTCTGCCCCAGCGCTCGCCTCTCCAGGCACCGTCCCGGCTCTGGACCCCTGCGCTGCCCATTCTGTTCTGCATTCACTCCGCCATTCCTGCCCTGTGAGGCAGACCTCTGCTGTCTTCACTGCTTTATTTCCCCAGACTCAGCCAGCATTGAAGGCGTGCTGTGCCTAGGACCCTTGCAGCTGGCATGCAGGGAGGAGTGTGAGGCTCCCTGCCCCTCCTCAGACTCTCAGAATTCAGAAGAGCCACGCTTTTTTGTCCTTGCCCTGCTGGGCCAAATGACGCCCTGCCTTCGTTTCTCTCTGGGGTAGACACCCCTGGCTTTTGCTGTGCACCTGCCGTGTGGAACAGGGGGCCGCCCCTGCCCCTGCCCTCTGTAGCTGACTCCGGCTTCCCTGGCCACCCTCAGCTCAGCAGGGCCCCGGGAGCCCCCGTGCCATGTGACACCTTCCGTAAGTGTGGAATTCAGGAGAATGTGCCTTTGGTCCCTGAGTCACTGTGTGGCTGGCATGTGCCCTGGCATGAGGGTCAGTGACGGGCAGGGGTGAGCATGAAGGCACCTCTGCTGTGCCCCTGCTTTGGCCCTTTCCTGACTTCTCTGGCCAGCTCTTAGGTTGAAATAAGCCCTGCCTGTTTTAACAGATGTTTATTAAACATCTGCCCTGGCCAGGCTCTGAGCAGCCTCCAGGGTCTCTGTCCTGAACACGATAGGCCCCTCCTGGTGCTGGTGGGTGGAGGAGGGGAGACTAAGTCCAGTGTCTCACAGATGACTGCGTAATTCCACATGGGACGAGAGGGAAAAAGAGCAGACCTTCCCTTTTATTTATTGAGACAGAGTCTCGCCCTGTCACCAGGCTGGAGTGCAGTGGCGCTATCCCGGCTCACTGTAAATTCCATTTTCTGGTTTCAAGCAACTCTCCTGCCTCAGCCTCCCGAGTAGCTAGATTACAGGCACATGCCACCACGTCCGGCTAAACAGACCTTTCCTTTTGTGAGAGGGATGCCGGTGTGGACAGCCGGGAGGGGAGATGAAACTGAGCAGAAGTGAGAGTCACTTTGCTGCCCGGCACGTTGTCTCACACTTGTAATCTCAGCCCTTTGGGAGGCTGAGGCTAGGGGGTCACTCCAGCCCGGAAGTTTGTGACCGGCCTGGTCAACATGAGACCCCTGTCTCTACTTTTAAAAATAACAGTAAGATATTTTGGGCAGAGAAGTGCCTGTGCAAAGGCCCTGAGGTGTTTGCCTGGTCTGTCCAAGGAGCAGAGGGGATGGTGTGAGGGGGAGAGGGCCTGGGGAGTTCGATGGGAAAGGGATGTCACTTGGGTCTCCCATGTGCTGTGAGAAGAGCTCTTCCTTGCTGTTCGTGGGAGCAGCGGTGGGAGGCCTCGAGGCAAGGCAGGTGTGGGGGCCCCACGGCCCAGCCAGTTGGAGAACCTCGCAGCTCCCAGGCCCTTCTCCCCATCCAGCCTCCCTGCCCTTTGCTGTCCTGTTGCTGGTGAAAGCCCCATACAAGCGAGGATTTTACTGCGGGGATGACTCCATCCGGTACCCCTGTCGTCCAGACACCATCACCCATGGGCTCATGGCCGGGGTCACCATCATGGCCACCGTCATCCTTGTAAGGCAGGAGGGGTTCAGAGGGACAGGGAGGGGGGCGGGATGGGGTACAGCCTTACCCTGGGTTCCTGATGATGGTGGCCTGGAGGTCTGTAGGGGGCTGGGGGACACAGCCTTGCCCCGAGTGGTACTTGTAGGTAATAGGAACCCCCTTTTGTTTTTTGAGACGGAATTTTGCTCTTGTTGCCCAGGCTGGAGTGCAATGGCAGGGTCTGCGGTTACTGTAACCTCCGCCTCCTGGGTTCAAGTGATTCTTTTGCCTCAGTCTCCCCAGTAGCTGGGACTCCAGGCGTGCACCATCACACCCAGCTAGTTTTGTATTTTTAGTAGAGACGGGTTTCACCATGTTGGTCAGGCTGGTCTTGAACGCCTGATCTCAGGTGATCCGCCTGCCTCAGCCCCCCACAGTGCTGGGATGGCAGGCGTGAGCCACTGAGTCTGGCTAGGGCCTTTTTAGAATCCCCAGCTCTGCAGCAGCCTTGGGGAGGCGTGTGGGGAGGACTGAGGCCCAGTGAGGGCCCACGGGCTGACCGGGACCCCCACTGGTCGCTGCGGCTGCCCCACGCTCAGGTCTCGGTGGGAGAAGCCTACCTGGTACACACAGACCGGCTCTATTCCCGCTCCGACTTCAACAACTATGTGGCTGCCATGTACAAGGTGCTGGGGACCTTCCTGTTCGGGGCGGCCGTGAGCCAGTCTCTGACGGACCTGGCTAAGTACACAGTCGGCCATCTGCGCCCCAACTTCCTGGCCGTCTGTGACCCCGAGTGGAGCCGGGTCAACTGCTCAGTCTACGTGCAGCTGGAGAGGGTTTGCAGGGGAAACGCTGCTGATGTCACCGAGGCCAGGTGGGTGTGGATGAGCAGCCTTCACTCTGGGGGGCAGTGGGAGCTGAAGAAGCCGCAGAAGCCAGATGGTGAGGACCCAGCAGGCAGGTGGTCAGGCAGGAGCGAGGCCTCAGGGCTCCTGGTGCCCTGCAGACAGCATGAGGCCGGGGACAGCGTGCTCTGTCTCCCCTGAGTCTCAGCCCTGCCCTCTTTGGTGCTGTCTTCTTTTTTTTTAAAGATGGGGTTTCACCATGATGGCCAGGCTGGTCTTGAACTTCTGACCGCAGGTGATCCACCCACCTTGACCTCCCAAAGTGCTAGGATTACAGGTGTGAGCCACCACGCCCAGCCATGCGCTGTCTTCTTACCATCTCTACTGATAGGTCCTTAAACATTTCAACTCATTGTTGTCCTTTTTAAAAAATCAAAATATTGACTGACAAGCCTAGGGTAAGGTCAGACCAAAAAAAAAAAATAATACAAAATAAAATTTGTTTTGTATAAAAGCCACCGTTTCTTCCATTTTAATGTGTACAGTTCATTTTTAGTACATTCACAGTGCTGTACAGCCATCTCCTCTACCTAATTCCAGAATATTTTCATCTCATCAGAAGGAAACCCCCCAGCATGGGTAACATGGCAAAACCCCGTCTCTACGACAAATCAAAAAATTAGGCCGGGCTAGGTGTCTCATGCCTATAATCCCCGCACTTTGGGAGGCTGAGGCGGGCGGATCACCTGAGATTGGGAGTTCAAGACCAGCCTGGCCAACATGGAGAAATCCTAACTCTACTAAAAATACAAAATGAGGGCCGGGCGCGGTGGCTCAAGCCTGTAATCCCAGCACTTTGGGAGGCCGAGGCAGGTGGATCACGAGGTCAAGAGATCAAGACAATCCTGGTCAACATGGTGAAACCCCGTCTCTGCTAAAAATACAAAAAATTAGCTGGACATGGTGGCGCGTGCCTGTAATCCCAGCTACTCAGGAGGCTGAGGCAGGAGAATTGCCTGAACCCAGGAGGCGGAGGTTGCGGTGAGCCGAGATCGCGCCATTGCACTCCAGCCTGGGTAACGAGCGAAACTCCGTCTCAAAAAAAAAAAAAAAAAATACAAAATGAGCCAGGCATGGTGGCACAGGCTTGTAATCCCACTCGGGAGGCTGAGGCAGGAGAATTGCTTGAACCCGGGAGGCGGAGGTTGTGGTGAGCTGAGATTGTGTCATTGCAGTCCAGCCTGGGCAACAAGAGTGAAACTCCATCTCAAAGAAAAAAAAAAATTAGGCCTGGTGTGGGCACCTGCAGTCCCAGCTACAGAGGGGGCTGAGGCGGGAGCATCACTTGAACTTGGGAGGTAGAGGTTTCAGTGAGCCAAGATTGTGCCTACCCCAGGCTGGATGACAGAGTGAGACCCTGTCTCAAAAAAGGGTAAGGAAAGGAAACCAAGGACCCCTGTACCCATTAGCTGTAACTCCTCCCCCAGCCCCTGGCAACCGCCAGTATCCTATTTTCAATCTGTAGATTTGCCTGTTCTCAATGTTTCATATAAATGGAATCATACACTATGTGGTCTTTGGTGTCTGCCTTCTCTTTTTCTTTTTCTTCTTCTTTTTTTTTTTTTGAGACGGAGTTTCACTCTTGTTGCCGAGACTGGAGTGTAATGGTGTGATCGTGGCTTACCGCAACCTCCGCCTCCTGGGTTCAAGCGATTCTCCTGCCTCTGCCTCCTGCGTAGCTGGGACTACAGGCACCCACCAACACGGCTGGCTGATTTTGTATTTTTTACTAGAGACGGGGTTTCTCCATGTTGGCTGGGCTGGTCTCGAACTAACCTCAAGTGATCCTCCCATCTTGGCCTCCCAAAGTGCTGGGATTACAGGCATGAGCCACTGTGCCCGGATTCTTTTTCTAATTAAAAAATTTGGGGGGGCTCTGCAAGATGGCTCACACCTGTAATCCCAGCACTTTGGGAGGCTGAGGTGGGCAGATCACCTGAGGTCAGGAGTTCGAGACCAGCTCAGCCAACATGGAGAAATCCCGTCTCTCCTAAAAACGCAAAAATTAGCCTGGCCTGGTGATGGATGCCTGTAATCCCAGCTACTCAGGAGGCTGAGGCGGGAGGATCGCTTGAACCCGGGAGGCGGAGGTTGCAGTGAGCTGACTGTGGTCCAGCCTGGGAGACACCAGACTCAGTCTCAAGAAAAAAAATTGTTTTTGTTTTGCTCAAAACTACAGGAAAAAAATAAATAGAAAAAAGAGGATAAGTGAATAGAATAAAAACAAATTGTTTTCGTATGTTTTTACTGATTGAACACAGTGCATTTTTGTGTTTTGGACGTTCATGTTGTAACGTTCTATTCGCTTTTGCTTTATGTATTTTGGAGTTCTGTGGTTTACTACATTTACCTTTATAATTGCTACATCTTTTTGATAGATTGACCCTTTCATCATCATAGAATGTTACATATGAGTTTTGTCTCAACAATTTTTGTCTTGATGTCCATTTTGTCTGATATTAATATAGCTATTTTGGCTCTCTTTTCGTTACTGTTTGCATGGAATATTTTTTTTTTCCAATCGTGTACTTTCAACCTATTTATGTCTCTGACTCTAAAGTAAGTCTCTTATGCCTAGCATAAAATTGGGCAGTGTTTTTTATGTATTGTCCAGTCTCTAATTTTTTTTCGAGAGAGGCTCACTTTGTTGCCTGGGCTGGAGGACGGGTAAGGTGATCTCAGCTCACTGCAGCCTTGGACTCCCAGGCCAAGCCATCTTCCCGCCTCAGCCTCCCGAGTGGCTAGGACTGGCCACTACATTCAGCTACTGTTTGTTTATGTTTTTTGTAGAAACAGGGTTTTGCCATGTTGCCCAGGCTGGTCTTGAACTCCTCAGCTCAAGCGATCCACCCTCTGTGGCCTCCCAAACTGCTGTGATTACAGATGTATGCCACCACACCCAGCCAGATCTCTCACTTTTTATTTTTTGTGTTTTTTTTTTTCCAGCCTGTGTTAATCTTTTTATTGAATTAAGGCATTTAACTAATCTCTGACTTTCAGTTGGAGTGTTTAATCTATTTATTTATTTTTATTTTTATTTTTATTTTTTTTGAGACAGAGTTTCACTCATGTTACCCAGGCTGGAGTGCAATGGCGTGATCTCAGCTCACCGCA